ATCAAAAACACGAACAAACGTTCCTTTGAAACAATTATTTTCTATCCCAATTACAACATTTGTCGTTACAAATGTTGTAATTGGGATTCTGCTCAGAGTGTCTCAGCCTGGCTGCATTTTAATTCTTCTATGCTGCTTTCCTGGTAAAGTCATAGGCGTTGAGTTTCTCAGCCTGGCATATTTAGATTATCTCATCCTGGCTCTCGATTTCCCATTTTGATTTCCTATGCTCATTTCCTATTATGGTCTGACTTTGATCACCGATGTATTACTCTTTCTAGACTGCCAGTAGTCATATCTCATCAACCCGAAAATGGAGGGTCAGTTGCTCGCCTGAAAACGCTTCTGCTCTATATGCAGGAACCCCCAAGCTGTCGTTCATGACTTTGACGTTCTATCGAAATCAACCTAGCATCCATTCTGTACATAGACGGCTTGATAAAAATGATATCAAAATTGAGTAGCGATATTAATTTTCTCGTTTCATTTTCGCCGATCCTAGGAAATATAAAATGCTTTGTTCTTTCGTGTGAGAATTCCACGATTGATAATACTAAAGATGTTTCTTTCCATCGGTTAGTTCGTTGGTAATGAATAATTCAATATTTCAATTTGCTTTTAGTAGTCGAGCAAGTATTTAAATCAAATGAAATCATGCATGTTTCGTATATTCATTCAGCTGTGAAGAATTTGAGTTGAGGCGTGAGGTGCCATACCTGCTCATCTATATTAGACGATTTTGGATTGAAAGTTCACTCATTAAATAATGATTCTAGAAATCCTAAGAATAAGAGATGTAATTAGGAGACCATTGCATCTCAGCCACTCAGGAAGGATAATTATGTTCAGACCATTTAACGCCAAACATCTTTCTGATGCTTCCAGGCAAATCCAGGACAATAAAACCATTTTTTGAAATGAAGTACTTGCATCTGAGTATTCGGAAGCTAAGAGACCTGAATTTGGCATATTCCATTCCTTTCTCAGTCCTTTATGTATGGTTCACCAACTTTCCATAGTAGACCCATCCCATAACATGACAAATTCTAAATGCACATGAATCAGCGTCACCAGTTTGATCTCCTGAGTGGCTCACCTTTTTCCTTATAGAATTAGCAGTCTATATTAGTCTATAAGTCATATCATCATAACCCGACTTAGAGTGCCAATACCTGGTTCTCAATTTCGCATTCCTATGGCGACTATTCTTGTGTCCGAATTTTTGTTATGATCAATCGATTTCAACTCACAAGAAAGTATCGCATTCAAGGTACTGCTTTCCGAACTGAAAGACGATTTATTGAGGTTATTCCATTTTCATGTTCTTAATGCTTGAAGAGGGATAATCGGGGGATAGTCATATCTCCATCTCTATGGAAACACGACATCAGGTAACCTTACGAGTAGAGGTTATCAACACTTGGCGTCTATAAATCCTCTATGCAAAGGAGGTTGGTATTCACTGGGTTAGGTATGTAATGGTGTTTCCCGTTAAAAACATATTCGTGCCTTTCTGCCCGCCTTGACCTTTCTTTATATTGATGGTTTCATAACTCAGTCAACTCAGTCTTCATATTATCATCTTATCCAAATTCTGATGCAGTTGGCACCACTTCGAATTTCAGGTCCCAACACCGAGAATCCTAGGCTCATCGGCTAGTTTTCCTGTGTTCAGTGGCGTTTTTTCTGAGGTTCCAGTTATTTTATAAATGTGTTCGGATTGCTCTGAGCCTTTGCAAGTACTTCACAGCTCTGCGAGCCAACCAGATCTCAGAAAGCTCAATCCAGAAAGGAACGTTCTCCATACTTTCTCTTCAGGGAATGGTGAGGGAGACCATGGTGATGAATTTCCAAGGCCGCCTTCCTCATATGTGTTCATTAGGGACAGCAGTTCTATTCACATTTTGAACAAGAGGAGGTCCTACAAGTAACTGTGGATTGAAAATTCCAGTATGGTACCCCTTGTTTTGTTTGGCCACCATCACTGAACGCCACTGCATTATTAGCAGGACTTACAACTTTTCCATAACCCTGATAGATGCAGCAAGTGTTTCAGTTGAGTTTGGTTTTGTTACATTCACCAGCTCCTCTGTCGCTGCCAATACAATATTATACCTATACCTACTCACTGAAAATTCAAGAACTACTGAAAACTGCAACGAATTCAGACTATCATCCGGCATTGTTCTTCACTGCTGTAGACCATTCGAGACATATATTCAGGAAAAACCAGAGTCCTGCGAGAGAATATAGGAGCCCAGACAGCACTGAATATTCCTAGAATATTCTCTAAATATGCTAAAAGAGAAGAGTATATTCCGAATATCAACCGAATATTAGTAGGATATACAGGGTGTTTCTTAATTGAATGCTGATCCTAAAGGGTGATAATCCTTGGATGATTTTAAGAAATATTCTTCATGTGAACATAGGTCCGTAACAGCTTCGTTTCTGAGATACAGGATGTTGAAATTTTACAAAAAATCAGTTATTCCCCAATATCTCTGAAACCGCTCTGGCTTTTTTCTTCATTACAAATACTTAAACATAGTTACCATAAAATTATAAAAATATTGCTCAGATCTTTGGTTACCACAATTGTGAAATTATGACTAAGAGTAAAAATCGAATAGGGACAAGCGAATGAATGCATTTTATTTTCTAACTCAAAAACCAAAAAAAAAAGACAAGAGACCATTTTTATGAGGAGATAGAGGATGATTACAAAAATAATATTCATTTGGAAAAAAGACAGTGGCGTATCATTATTTTGATGAGAAATATGACAGGGTATGTTAACAGGGACGCCACTGATGGAAATTGAGAAATCCTTCATTATGGAAAAAATTTATTTCTATTCATACTCGGCATGTACCAAAATTGAAGAAAAAATCCAGAGTGGTTCCAGAGATATAGGGGAATAACTGATTTTTTTGTTAAATTTCAACATCCTGTATCTCAGAAACGAAGCTGTTACGGACCTATGTTCACATAAAGAATTTTTCTTAAAATCATCCAAGGATCATCGCCCTTTAGGATCAGCATTCAATTAGGAAACACCCTGTATATGTGCCTCTGGAATATCCAAAGAATATTCAAATTTGAATATTATAGTAATATTCCAAAATGATATACACGGAATATTCCAGAAGGAATATTCAAAGATGAATATTCCAAGAATATACAAATTGGATGAATACTCTCAACTGGATATTCTGATCTGTATATTCATGGAATATTCCATAATTATTATTCTCATGTGTTTCAATGAAATATAGTATATGTAGTATAAACACCAATCACTATATTATATTTCATAGAGGCGAGTATCAAACATTTATCATGATGAAAATGTGGTAGAAATCTATCGTGGGGTAATAAGTCTATGATCGTATCCCAAAGTGTGTGATTAGTTACCAGGAATCAGGAACACAAAACCATCACCACAATTTTAATAGGGATCAATTTATATACTCAATCAGATCATCGTACATGTTTTGAGCCCATATAGGCTCATCTTTCATTATTATGTATCAAGATTTCGAAACATCAAGTGTTCATGATTCGAGTTCGAGCCCATCTTGGGTCAGCTTTTTTCAATTATGAATATGTTGATATGTTGAGTGCAATATTTTAGGAATATTCATTTATTAATATTCCTGTACTATCCCTGGAATATTCCGAATATTATCTGAATATTTCTAGAATATTATAGGTACATTCTGAATATATAGGAAATATTCCTTGTGAATATTCTAGGAATATATACATTCTTCCCCACCAGCACATTCAGGAAATATTCCGTAAAAGATATGTATATCCCTGGCATGTTCATGAATATTCCCAATATACAAAAATAATATTCTATGAATATTCATGGAATATCTGGTGCTGTCTGGGAGTAGAAGAAAGAGAATGTGAGCCAGGGAGTAAGGTGTTAGGTATTACTTTTTGCTCGTTTGTGGCGCTTATTCAAATTAGCAGTATGTTTATTTTTACCACAGATTCATGAGTTGACCCAAGTATACATACAAAATGGCGGATTTTTTACTATTCAGGTCATGCTATCGATTATTGAATGCATCATATATGTCAAGAGGACTATTTTATTGGAAATCTTCTCTTCGATAGCGCCTATAGATTTATATAATATGATTTTGTCAATACTCGTATATCCTTTCACACCCCACTTCATGCATATTTTTTTTCTGAAAGTCACCTTGGGATAGATAATTTAGTTAGTAAATTAATATTCACAGACCCCTGAGACATGTAAATCCATACCTCATACGACTGGCTAGGATAATGCAAGCATGTCAATGGCACCGTATCGGCCGCCAATTTCCAAAATGGTGGTCTTTTGAGACATTTCCAGTTATCCAAGAGCACCATCAGATATATTACTGCAATTCAGAATGAAATCGACATCCGGGTCACTTCTGTAGCATAATTTTGATTTTTTTCAAATTACCGTTGAATTAACCCCCTACCCTACCCCCTAAAAATCGTACCCAGACGCCCAAAAAAGTGAGTGCTGCAAAGTCTATGGTGCTGCAGGTCAAATCTTCCATTTGGGTATTGAAATCAAGTGCGCAAAGCAGCTAACTTTCTATACGAAATGTGTTTTTCTCGTATATTTCTGGTGTACCGCTAGCACTTATACAGTCGAGAGAAAAACTATAGTGACTTTCAGTAGGCCGTTATTCTCACTTCATTTGGATTTTATAATCTGAATCGTTTCGAGTAGAGTTACTGAAATGATAAGTGGAAAGGTGGAATACGCTGTATATTCAACAACATGTTTATTATGGAGTATTAGTACGTAGGGAATTGAAGGTTGAGTACCAAATGTGTAATTTGACTCTCATTCTCATCAGTAATTATTTCCGCTATATATATGCATATATACATGTTAAATTTCAACTACGTCACATAGTTTATAAAATAATACTCACTATATAATTGAATGATTGCGTGATTGAAATAATAGTACAGATAGTGTGAAGCGGACACAGATTATCTTGCGAGCTATGGCTTCACAAGATCAAGTGTTTAGATGGGTCAAAGAATCTTTGACTAATCAAGATTTCAATATAAAGGATGTTCATATAACAGGCAGTACAGGAAATGACCAAGGATATATGGGAGAAGTTATTTTTGTAGAAGCTGAAGGAGTTACTAATGAAGGCAGTGAGAAAAAAATCCACCTGGTTGTGAAACACGGAAAAATCAATGAACATTTAAGAAAGACAACACCAGTTAGAGAAGTATTTGTTAGTGAAATCTACACCTATGACAATATTTTCCCAGTGTTCCAAAAGTTCCAGAAAGAACGAGGCGTTGAGATTTTTGATTCAGTGCCCAAATGTTACAAGTGTCTAATGTTTGAACACATGGAAGTGATAGTTCTACAAAACCTGAAAAAAGTTGGTTACGATTTACATGATAGGAAGAAACCCATGGATATAGACCATTTAGAAATTGTTTTGAAAGAGTATGGCAAATTTCACGCAACGTCTTTTGCTATGCGTGATCAAGATTATGAACTCTTTGAAAAACTCACTGAGAACTTGCCCAATGTCTACAAGAGCTTCATGGAACTACCAGACATAGATTCATTCATTCTGAGTTCTACTGCTATCGTAATCGATATATTGAAGAAGTACAAAGATGAGGACCTTTGCAAGAAGTTTGAAAAGTTGATGGAAAGAGGGATTACCAATATATTGATGGACGTTGTAGACATAAGGGATCCAAAAGCTGTGATTTGCCATGGTGATTGTTGGAATAATAATTTCATGTTCAAATATGAGGTAAGCTTAGGAAACATTGTTTGTAAGGGTGCCTTATAGACATCAAGTGCTTGAAGAAACAAGTTCACTACTCGAATTGTCGACATTTTTTAAAATGCGATTACTTTTTTGTAAATCAACCGATCTTCAATCGAAATACAGTGTTCAAAAGATACGTCCCTCTTGTATGAGATTTATCGATCGAGACCAAGAGGTCAAAAATAGTGTTACATAATCGAAAAACTTCAGGAGCTCCCATGTTACTCTGAACATTTTTCATCCTTTTGCAAATCACCTCTCTCAAATCCTTGAGTAAATATATCGAAATGGTTTCGGAATTTCTGACCTTCCTTATACAGGATGTAAAATATCGATGTTTTTCGATATTATATGTTTTATCTGCGTATCCAAAAATATAGACGATATTCAAACCATACTGCTGCACTATTTTTTTTATTTCTATTTGATTTTAGCGGTACACCAATTCAACATCCAAGGCCTATTACAGAATGGGGAAATAACAAACTTTGTTCAAAATCTATACGGATATTCTAAAATTTGTTCTAAAATTTGTTCTATCCGTCATTCGGTTGCCCCCTTACGAGCAACCCTCAAAAGTCTTCGAAAGTCTTGTGCGAGCAAGGAATGACGGGGGCCTTACCTTTTAACGTGTGATCCCAAACACTTTCTTGGGCCATCAGAAAAATTTCTGCAGTCGACGGGGATCGAACCCACGACCGGCAAGCGAATGCGAATTGGAATATAGACACTCTGTCCGCACGGCTACCTGGCCACCCTTCTATCAAAGAACAAAACAGAGAAGGGAATATGCATAGAAAAATAATAGAATAATACACACCGATGAGTGTACATTTCATTTACAACCATCATATTTCGATCAAAATTAATTGCTTTCTGTTTCGTTCTGAACATACCTCAAAATATTACATAAGTGAGGAAGGAAAGTGAGGGCAGGAAGTAGTGAGGGCGGGAAGTGAGGGCAGGAAGGAAGTAGAGGTGTGTAATGTGACACTTCCCCAACCTCCAATGACGTTAGTAATGCCAACATTACATATATGCTTGTAAATAAAATAAATTACACACTGCGTAACGATGTGTATGAGCGCTACAAACAGTGTTGAAAAAACAACAACAAAAAAATACATCTTATGATAATTATGAGTATCTCTTTTGATGTCTATTGATTCGCAGTAATAATATCAATTCTATTCTAAATTGACAAGTAATCACGACAAATTTTATACAGAGGCGAGAAAAGAAGAACATTTGTTTGAGCGACTGGCAGGTAGGAACGGGAGAATATAATATGTGCAAGCAGGTATGGACAGTTAAAACGCGAGACCGTTGATTAAGGTAACCAATACCTCAATCGACGGCGAGACTAAGATCTTTTATAAAAATTATGCGGTACCCCTCGCACCACATAGAAGCCATCACATCTGAAACTTATGTACTTCAGATCGCCTCTGAATATTCTCTAGACTCTGACTATATTATGTGATGTATCCAGGATTCCAAACGCAGCTATATTCAAACTTTGACCTCACATGCGCATCAAAAACGAGTAACTGGGTTTTTTATCCCAGGCAGCCATTTGGAGTTTTTGATAATGAAACCAAGTGTTTTGAAACCACAATAATACGATCGAATTCATTCCTGGGGGAGATATTATTAATTCCAGGTGCTGCAAGAGGGCATTTTTGGATTATTCAGAACTATACGTAAAATATTGGAGACAATATTGGAGTCGGTATGCGATTAAGAAACACCTATAATGGTCGTTTCCGTCATCACTTGAAAAAAATGCCCGTGTAAAGAAAATTCTATGCAAGTGATTGCTGCGCATGGGAAAATGATAATACAGCAAGATCCCATGAACGCTAGACCTTCGTTAATTTATGAGAGCTTGAAGTTTTTCAGCGCATGCTCCCCACACAGGTAAGAACAATGGGCGAATATTATGAAGTTTAGGTCATGGTGCCCTTGGCAGGTTACCGAAAGGTAGCAAATGCATACCATTACTATCGGCAAATTAAAAAGGTTAATTTTTCAATATTTTCTTCGGGATAATAATTAGAAATCGCGTCATCCATTGCCAGATACATACCATGGTTGCTATACCCCTTGCCAGACACCCTCGATGAATTGTAACTCAACTTACGTTATGGTACAAACAAAATTTTTTTTCAATAATTCACGGAAGCATTGTATGTTTGTCTGGGGTTAGTTCCATCAAAAACTGTCCATCTGAATGATTCATGATTTCACTAGCATATGACCGTAGCAGCATCATCATCAATATGAATAGGTGATTTCAAAAAATCTCATTGATCGAAAAACTCTTATTTCTTTATGTCGAAAGTTCTGCTGCTCTTAAAAACATCTGGATATCTTCTCCAGGAATTAATTCGATCTTATTACAGTGGTTTGAATATCGACCAAACCTTTTTTCATTAGCAGACATGCAGAAAAACATTATATCGAAGGTCAGAAATTCCGAAACCATTCCGAGATAATGACTTGAAGATTTGAGGAAGATGATTAGCAGAGGTGTAAAAAAATCTGGGAATACAAGAGCTTCTAAACTGTTTGATTCATGTGATACTATTTTTGATTACTTGGTATGTCAAAACTTTGATGAGTTGAATGATTAATCTCAATCGGTTGATTTGCAGCATAAAGTTATCGTATTTAAAAAAAAAGCTCGAAAATCCGACGGGTCTACTTGTTCCTATGAGCTATTTATAAATATTTGCCACGTTTTCACTGAGTGATGTATTGTACCAAAACTGATTATAATCTTCCTGATATTGATCCTTAGTTCATATTTATTATGACATACAAAATAAACTCGGAAATCTGCATTCGTGAAACTTCTAGGACAACCTTTATATGAATGGAAATCGACTATGAGAACCGCTTATCAATTTTCACGAGTAATTGCATTTTCCCGTTATAACAGATTTGAATTCTGATGATAGGATTTCCTGTGATCAGAATAATAATTTGAACGCAATGAAGGACACGTATTGCTTCAACCAATTTATGAATCTTCAGCAGATTATCCTCCATCCTGCATTGACTTCATATAGTTACCTGAAATAAGTCTTGTGTAATTTTAGTTGAAATACCCTATTAGGATCAAGAATTCATGGGAAACTTTTTCGAGCAGGAACTCGATCTATTTTCTCTTTATTATAACTTCCAAAATTCCACGTAAACTGGTAGGACATTTATTGCCCTTGGACGATAAAATTATTTTATAGCTGACTAGTTCAATCAGGAACGAAACTGGTCTGCTTTCATCTCCTGGGGTGATAGTGGAAAAGTACATAGAATAAATCATTTTAGTTCGATAAGAAAATGATGAAGGATGACCATGATATGCCTAAGCTTTTTATGATGAGACTATACGACATAATAAGTTCACAATAACATTTTTTGAGTAGATGATTATTTTAGTGAAACATTTTGAAACACCCTCTATAAACAATAATCCTCTGGACTTTCCAGAGTCGTACATCAACGTAAGTTACGAGCTTACACTAAAGCTTGTTGCATTCGAACGAAATAATCCAGCGACCTGAGAAAATCCTGGATTTTATGTCCAGTGGTATTACTAGGCAGGGAGTTTCCTGTTTCCTGAGATGTATAAGAAAAGTGACAAGTTGAATTCGAGACACATTTGGAGTGAAGGAAATGTATATCTGAATGAGCAAGTTGCACTTTACTCAGATGACTTTTGGTTTGTGAAAGAAATGGGACTGTCTCATTATTCTTTGGAAAACTCTTTTGTCGGACTGTTAATGTTTCATCTCACAACAAACCCAGCTGTAGTCCAATTGTTTTTATTGCTCATTTTAACAAAAATACTGAAATGTCTCTCGTTAATCAACTTGAGATGGAAGCACAAACTGAACCTTGGTACTTTCGAACGAAAAAATCCAGCAAACTGGGAATATTTCTTTCTCAGAGAGTATAGGATGGAGGAAAAGTATATCACTGAATGAGCATGATGCACTCCTCTCAGATTAGTTCTAGGTTTCATATGAAATTGGCGAATTATCTAATTTTTCTTTGAACAAATTTCATCCGTTGATGCTCTTTACATAGGTATAAAAAACAAACCTAATTGTTCACTCGACTATAATGTTCTATAAGATTCCCTTAGGATTTCTAGGATAACAAAAATACACTGAATTGTCTTCATTTATCAAAACGAGTTCCATACCAAGTAAAGCTTGTCACATTCGGAAGGAATAATTCAGCGAACTGAAAAATTTCAGAATTTTATGAGCTGTGATATTACTGGACAGGTGCACTCATCTGAGACTTATAGGAACAGTACCAATCCCAAGTTCGAGGCACACCTGGATATTATAGGGAATTCATATTATTTGAATAAGTGAGCTGTGAGCTTGATGCATGATATAAATTATGAACTCAGTTCAGCTGATGTTATCTCGTTTATAATGTTCCGGGATGTCTTTAGGATTTTTAGGATAACCAGATAATTGAATATACGAGCTAACACTGAAGCTTGCTACATTCTAACGATGTAATCCAGCAAACTGGATAAATCCTGGATCTGAAATACTGGTATTTTTTTTTTCTCTTGGAAAAATCTGAAATTGAATTCTAGTTACAATTGGAGAATGGTGGAAATGTATATTACTGAAGGTGCACTACTTTTTGATTAGCCCAGCTTCAGTTTGTCAAATTATAGTTGGAATATTGCATGTTATTATGAAAAAACTACTCATGTCGGAACGTTGATGAATGGAATAAACAATCTCATCTCGACTGATGCGATTTTGTTTATGAAGTTTCATATAAAGGTTCATGCCCTGAGAATTATTAGGATAACCAAAATTCTTTGAAATGTCTGTCGTTTATCAACTGAATATACGAGCTCACACTAAAGCTTTCTACATTCTGACGAAAAATCTTATTTTATACAGGAGGCACCTATTCATCAAGAAAATGTCTCAATAAAATTA